GAACTCCATAATAAAGCCATCCGTCAAAATACACTGCAATCTCTCTCACGTCCGTGAACAATCGGACAAGGGCGTACGAAGAAGCAAAAGGCTTCGGGGCACCGAACCTTTCGTATGAAACCGAAGCAAAGACTTTTCCTTCACTGAACCTTCATGCGCTGATGGTTCCGGTCGTAGGAGCTCTAACTCTTTGCCGGGGCCCAACAAACGAGTCTAATTATGAACTTGCTTTACTTTCACGGAACACATTTTTGGTGATAACAAACAAATGTAACAAAGTAACATATTTACCAAAAAATGTTCTACGCCACTACATACTTAGATTTAAATGTGTGCTGCATTCTCCGCAAGGGTTTTTGAAATTCGTCCGTGCGCAAAGCATTGTGGGGATTTGAAGGACGCGAAGTCTACCCATGTGCAGCCTCGAAATTTTCCCCAAACCAAGGACGCGGCCTCGGTGGAATTCCAAGTATGCTGGAGATTGGAACAGTCCTTCGGCGGCACTCGATGACGTAGTATCCTTGAAATATTGGCTTGGAAGCCAGTTTCCTCGAGATTGAGAAACGGCCCCATTGTGTTCCTGTTAGTGTTTACTTCCTCTCTGTCTTCTTCTGCTGTTCCCTTTAATGTTTACTTCCTGTCTGTCTTCTTCTGTTGATTTCTCTGACGTCAGCTCTCTGTCTCTTTCCTTTTTGTTGCACTCTCTTTCTTGACTGGGGTTGACAGGTTAGCCATCATGACTCCAAAGTTTTGTGATCTCCACAAATATAAAAATGAATAATCCAAAAGTATTTCATGATGTTCTCTGATCGAGAAAACTAAAGTTAGTTGTCGACAGCTGACGTTAAATTGACTTCTTTCTGTGGATTGATATGACTGCACATAGTCCCTTGATCCCCCTTAGCAGTGATCTGTTAACAAGTATTAACCACCTCTGAAATGTCCAAATTGACCAATCACAATCGAGTATTCAACTAAGCCATGTAATAATCTTTACTAACATGTGCTTGTCTCTATATTTGATAAGCTGACTATGTTAAATACCTCGTACAAGCCCACTACAAACAATTATCCTTTTAATGTCATTATCCAGAGTTTGTAAAGCGAATAGCATCTTACTGAACAAAGTGGATATGAGGAAACACTCCCAGTCTGTCTCTGATTCCTCCAGCTGACTTCTAGAGGTCTAATGGGGGGTTTTAGAGTCTGGTTAAGAGCCTGGTTTAGGGTTTCAGGGCTTCGTGCTTCTCCAGAGGATTCAGAGGCTGTGTAATATCCCAGCTGCACAGAAGCACATTGTCACGGCTCAGTATGACCGGTGTTGCCTTCTGGAGAGTAAACAGTGTCTGGAAAAGACAAAGAAGTTATGTGTCTGTTGTTTCTATTCTTAGTAATTTAAAAAGGGTGTTCAGTATCCCCTGACAAAGATGCTATCGAGTGTTGTTATTCAGCTTTGTGCGAGTGCAGTCATGCGCTGCACTGAAAGTACAACATATTTGCACACATGACTCAAAATGTGACAAAATCAGTGATAAAAGTACATTTACTCGAGGACTCTTGAACTATTTTGACCTACTTGAGGATTTCTATGTAATCCTACCTTGTACTTCTACTCCGCTACATTTCAAAGGCAAATATACTACTTTTTCACACTATATTGATTTAACACTTGTCTTTACTTTAAACATAAAAAAACAGTAGTGTTAGACGAAGTACTCAGATCCTTTTACTTTCTGTGAATAAAAGTACAAATAATATGGTTTTAAAATACTCCATTACAATTAAAAGTCCTGATTTCAAAATCTTACTTAAATAAAAGTACACAAGTATTAGTGTCACAAGTATAGTGCACTTGTTGCACACAGAAGAATAAGAACTATTTGAACATAGTTAATGCATACTGAGTACTTTTACATTTGATACATGAAGTACATAACCTGGTAATAGTTCTAGTTAGTGTGTAACACTTAGCTAGCGCTCCAACACATTCAACCTGATGGGCTGAGGGGGCGGGACATCTTTAAGCTGGTCGACCAATCACAACACAGCCAGCCAGCTTACCAATCAGAGCAGACTGGGCTCTGGTTTCAGACAGAGGGTGAAAAGAGGTGCTGCAGCACAGGCAGTATGAGAGGAAACTAAAGAGCTTTTAGAACAATTAAAAAGCATGAGAGACAATGTCCCAGAATAGAGAAACATTGAAATTAAAAGCCATGGAAGAACATGTCCCAGCAGAAGCAATATTAGAAACCACTTAAAGCATGGGAGGAAATGTCCGAAAAAAACAAAGTAGAGCATCTTGAACAAATAAGCATGGCAGACGTGTCCACAGTAGGAGACATAGATGGAACATTTAAAAGCATTGGAGACATTGTTCCCAGATAGGAACATTTGAAATTAAGCAATGGAAGACAATGTCCCAAGCAGAGACATTTGAACATTAAAGCCATGGAAAGAACAATGTCCCTTGATAGAGACTTTGAACAACTAAAAGCATGGAGGACATGTCCCAAAAGGAGGACATTTGAAAATAAAGCATGGAGACAATGTCCTAGAAAATAAGAGACATTAATAAAAAATAAGCATGGGAACATGTCCAGCGGAGACATTTGAACTTAAAGCATGGAGACATGTCCCCAGCAGAGACATTTGAACATTAAAGCAATGGAGGACCACAATGTCCCAAAAAAAAAAAAAAAAGATAGAGACAATTTGAAACATTAAAAGCAAATGAAAGAGAAATGTCACAGAACAGAGCACATTTGAACATTAAAGCATGGAAGACATGTCACAGCAGAGACATTTGAACATTAAAAGCATGGAAACATGTCCCAGCAGAGACATTTTGAACATTAAAGCGTGGAGACAGTGTCCCAGCAGAGCATTTTGAACAATTAAAGCGTGGGACATGTCCCCAGCAGGAGACATTTGAACATTAAAGCATGGGATGACATGTCCCTAGTGAGACTAATGCATATGAGTTGTTGTATTGTGTGGGGTTGTTGTTGAGACATATAATATGTTGTGGTTGAGCAGGAATCATATTTAATAGAGTGTTGCTTTGCGCTTCGGGACATCTCGGACTTGTTGTACTACTTCACGTCGTCTATAAATTCGCATGAGCTGGCTCTTGTCTGGCCCGCGACTGTGAGAACCATGGCTGGTGTATTTTTTGTTTTGCTTCTTGTAAAAATTTCTTCTATTCTGGTCTGGTTGTTCATTCTCGGAGGTGGGCTGATACTTTGCTCTCGGCCTGGCGGAGGAACAGCTGTCGCGCAGCCCACAAAGGCCTCTCGAGTGGCATGAGGATCCACCTGCCCATAGAAGACTCATAATTAGTCCAACACTGTAACTCTGTGGCTCTCTCCATTATCACTGTCTGCAATCTAACATAGTGTCGACTGCTCGAACAAACACCGCATGAACTGGCCTATTTCGGGTATCACACTCCCTGGAGTGAAAATAATGTCTTTACAGGAGCAATCGGATAGATAGTTTTGTTCATTCCCATTTCGTCCGTTCACCTGCCCGGCGCGTGCAATAAGGGCATTTTTTCCTCCTCCATGGGTCCCTTTCTTTCCTTTGTTTACAGCTCTGGCATTTTCCACAGCAGCTGATATGGAGAGCGTGTCTTTACCTTAATGTAGCTCTGCTGTGAAAACACACAGCGTGACCCTCCGAGCATCGAGGTCATCTCTTTTACTGCAGCAGAAATTCACATCTACCCCTTTGTGCTCAGTGTTGTAATC